GATTGAAATCGACAGAGTGATTCTGTGCACTAGGAAGAAGGGGATCAATTAGAGAACCAGCTGTGGGATAAAAATGTGAAATAAGGTGGTAGGAAGCTACCGCTAATCAGGGGGTGATCTTCCTCCCCACAAAAAAAGTGCTTCTTTACACTTCCCAGCAACTTCCAAAACATCTTGGATAAGGAATGGGAATGCTGGCATATATCAATCAGTTCTGGAAAGAGATCAGAGGAGACGCTTCCAGGACCTGCCTTTTTTTTTAAAATGCAGCTTTCTTGTTCGGGTTCATGTGCAACATAAATATTGATAATATTAGGCACCATGGAGCTTCTGAGAATAATTTGATCCACAGTGTGAAGCAGCTTTCTCTTGTAATGCCTGTGGTGAAATCCAAATTATCAATTTAGTAAATTTTAGGGTAGACTAAGCTTTAAAAGAAAAGCACACATTTATCAGAAGTATCATTGTCAGCTAGGATACCATGCCTTTTAGCCGTTTTGATGCTTCCTATTTGTTTCATGCCCACTCTTTGGAATTTATTTTCATGGAAAATGAGCTAAAATATGTTTTTTCAAAACCTTTCTCATCATGTTTTGCAAATGCAGCATATAATTACTGATAATTCTCTATCGCATACATTTCAAAGAGGATTTTTAGCCATATCAAAAAGGTGCCAAGCCCAGTTGCAAAGAGCCAAAGCAACGATGAGAATTTTACATGAGATAATGAAAAACGAAACACATTCTAGGTTTGTTCTCATTTACTTACTCTAAGATTTCAGTTTATTTTAGTCTTATCGGCTTCTTGGCAGTGTGTTTGTCTTCTTTGCCTATCACACCTGCCATGAGATGAACAATGTTGCAAGGGGTTTGTTTTGGGAACCTCTTGGTGCCACCTAACCTCTGTATAAGCAGTAGCATTAGACTACTTTACAGTAGTACTAGACATTTTGTAAGGGCACTGACCAATGTTAATGATATAATATTTTTAGGAGTTAAAGTAATATTATAGTTATAACTTTTTGCCCTTTCCAGCAGTGTAAAAATATAGAGGCATAGTGCTTTTCACCAGCCATAAGTGGTGTGAAACACAAGAAATCTGTTACTAGAATAAAAGTTAGTGCAGAAAAAAAATGAAATACAATTGTAACATAGACAGCAAGAGGCATGAATTCTCATTTAGGTAGGAATGGGATAATGCATAATCATTAGTTTATATTTTCAGGGTTGAAATCACAAGTCGAAGCTTAAGGGACTTATAAATGCAGAAAAACTGGAGTAATTTAACCTGTTCTGTTCCAATGTTTGGCACTATCTTCCTTTCCTTTTCTCTAATATTTTATTCATATACTTTACGTATTTTAACATATTCATTTATAGTCATCAGAATAGTCTGTCATTTAAAAATCTATTTAAAACATACATATTTAGTATAAAAATAAGGGGCAATAACAAAATCAATAAAATAACACTATAACACATAGTAAAAAACGAACAATTTAAAGAATTGTTAATCAGTGTCATCTGGCATTAAAAGTAGAATCAGTGTCATCTGGCATTAAAAGTAGGTACTAAATTTAGTGTCAATAAATTATAGTCAATTGCTTGGATGCCATAATATGAGTCAACTGAGTAACTTATAAAGCCACACTTCCCATACAACATGTCTGAATGAAAACTACCAGCACTGTGGGTACTAGAGTTTAGGGTACCACAGGGCAGATGCCAGAATAGAAAATACTTGTCTCCTGAGTGCCATCAGTTATAACACCTAAAAGACAAGGACCTACAATATGCTTCGGCTAGACCTGATGGGCTTGGCAGATGTAATCAGGAAGAGCGGTTCCTCAAATAACCTAACCTAATAACCTAACTTAATGTTAAAGGCTTTAAATGTTAAAAGCAGCACCTTGCATTGGACTCAGAAGCAAACTGGATACTAGTGCAGCTCAGACCAGAGGTATAACAAGTGCCACTCTAGGGCCACATGTAACTGCCTGCATCATAGCATTCTGTACCAGCTAAAGTTTCCAGATACTCTTCAAAAATAGCCCCATACAGTAGTCTTTCCAGGAGTTGACCAAACCATAAGTGACCATAAACAAAGCCTCCCAATCCAGACAAGGGTGCAACTGGGGCACAACATGAAGTTGTGCAAAGGCCTCCTAGTCGTGACTGTCACTTGTTCTTCAAACAGGAGTTATGAGTTCAGGATGAACTCCAAGTAGATCCCCAAATTGTGCACTGGGTCTGTTTTGGGCAGTGCAACTCTACTCAGGAGGAAAGATGATGCAGTCCCCATATTGGCAGGCCCCAAACCCACAGCTACTCAATCTTGCTAGAGTTCCACTGAACTCTTTTGTGCCTTATCCAGACCCCTGTCACCCCCAGGCATCAGGATATGATATCAACAGAATTTCTCAGTTTGCCAAAGACAGGCAGACATGTATAACTGAATATTATCAGTGTAACGATGATACTTAACCCCATAATGATGGATGAGCTTATCCAATGTCTCCCTATAAATATAAATAGGAACGGAGAGAGCATTGAACTCTATAAGACCTCACATAATAGGAGTCAAGAGCAGGATCTCCCCAATCACCACTGACTGGTGTTGACCCTGGAGAAAAGGAGGAAACCCAGCACAATATTACAGTAAGTTTAATTCACTCTATTCTTTGAACATATTTTCTGAGGTAAATTACATTTTTAATGGCTGACCTCAGAGGGCCTATAATAATTGTACAGAAGATAATATATTATCAGTTAGTTAGAATTCTATCCATTTTCCACTCAGAGCTTAAAGCAGTTTACCTGGGAATTTCCCTTCATTTTATTCCCATAACAGCATTTGAGATACTGTAGGTTAATCTAAGAGAGGAAGATTGGCTGAAAATCATCCTGTGAGTTTCCATAGCTAAGGATGGCCTTGAATCTAGGTTTCCTTGGTGCTTATTCACACTATAACCACTGTGTTGCAGTGGCTTTATCACTTTCATAAAGCAAATTCTCTTTAGGAAGGAAACTTACATGCACTGAAATTGATAAGATTATGATTCGGAATGTAGATACTTACATAGCTGTGTTCCTTTTGAAGTTTTATAGTAAATTCTACTACATCTACATCCCAGCTTCCTTTAAGCTGGTGATCAGTGATTATGATCCCATTGATAATATTTTTCTCATATGATTACTTTTTAAGAAGGTGAACAGAGAATTCAGGTTAGCTGAGAGTTTAAAGTCTATGCCATGAAGCAAGCAATCCTATAATAGGATATAGTAGGATGTACCAGAAAGGGATAATGCCCTCTACTCACACACTAAATATAAGGGTAATATGTGAAAAGTGAAAACAGTCCAAAGGTCCTGTCACCAGAGTTAACATTTGGGGAATATTACATGAGACTAAACAAAGGATCAGAGGAAAAATTGGCATGAAAGAACAGGCCAAAGTAGGAAGCTTCTGCAATTCAGGTTCACTAAGGAATAGGGGTGGAAATATTTGTACAGCCCAGAATTAGCAAGGAATCTGTCCAAGCTCAAGGGATGGACAGATGAAGACGTGGTGGACTTCTGTTCAAGATAGCAAAGGGATAATTTAGTTCTTGTAGCTATTTCTGAAAATTAAAGATATAGTAGCAAAAAAAGCCCTTTAAGATGTCCCTACATAAGTTATTAAGCAACTTACAGGAATTCTAACCATGGAAAGTGAAACTGGCAGTTTCTTATGCAGTACTTTCTATCTAGAAAATGCCAACCAGAATAAAGCTATATTTGCTGGGCTGATTTATTATTTATTACCCATTTAGAGGTTATTTTCTGGGCAATTTGTTCAAAAAGCTGTGTGGTCATCAACTGTTGCAAATGCAGCTAAGCTTTCCAGGTGTGTGCTTATAAAAGGGTGACAAATGATGTATATACAATTTGTGGGAATCATCTGTCTCTTTCTAGTTAATATCGTCATAGAAATCAACCAGTTTAATGTGTGCATTAGATCTTAACAAGGACAAAAATGTGTGCATGCTTAAAGAGAGAGTGACTAGGTTTTTAAAGTTATTATTTCAAGTGCAATTATTATTTGAAGTAGCTGCCAAGAGAGTAGGTAATGAACTAATGAAAGCCAGGACAGCAAAAACAAACGAAACACAGTGCAAGTGGTTTCCTATACCACTTATTATTTTGAAGTGCATGATCAGTTGCTGCATTCTCAGTGCTTTTGCTCAAAAAGCTATGTTACTATGTTGTTTTCTAAATTTTGTTTTAAATCTTTTTTACACCTGCTCCAGACTTATGCATATATTCCTAATTGCCTTTTAGTTTTCTCAGATTTAGAATTACATTTTAAAACTAAGACCTGCATTAGTATGGACACAAATGTAGTTTTGTGCCTCTTTAATGTACAAGACTACAAATGGCAGGAAAAAATGAATAAATAAACAAAATGTCACCTTGCAATTATTTGATTTTCATGCCTGAGCTGAGAATGTGGCAGGATTCAACTATACTATTAATTTTATTAACTATTCAGCAATTATGCAGCAGAGCATAATAGTATGATTCCAAGTATTGATTCCTTGATTCCACAAAATCTGTTAGAATATTATTACATACACTTGGGCTGCCCAGATACGAAGTTTTTTCATGATGTCACTGCATGCTCAGTAAATGAATCCATGAGACTGTTAAATTGTGACTTCTAAATGCTGCTGGGGGAAAAGAGGACACATAAACATCTGTGCTCATTTCCCTTCTCATCTTTTTACCGTACAATCTCCTGCAATCCATTTTGTTTGAGAGGAATGATTATTTGTTTTAGGGGAGTGTTGCTCTGTAACCAAGCTGGACTTTTTTCTCTTTTTTTGCAGCACTGAGATTATGCATGTTTGTCTTCTCTGATTTCTTCCATGTTTATTATGACTGACACCTAGGGAATGATTGCGGTAGATAAAAGATGCGGTGATATGTTAATTCCTTGTGGCGATTGTCATTTTTTTGCAGGCAATCCGTCTGGTCATGCTAAAAAAGCCCTGAAGCAGCGGTTCCTCAAGCTGCTCCCCTGCTGCCGCCAGCCTAAATCCATCCCCTCAATCAGCGAAAGCAAGTGATACTTCGTGCCTCTTTATGTTCTCTGTGCTGTGACATTATAATATCCAGGAAGGGGGAGAAAGATTCCCTCTGTATAGAATTTATATAAAATCCTTAGATAGTTCTTTTCTTAAAACAAACTTTAGATCAGGTATATTATAATAATAATGATATGTTAGTAATACCTAAGATACAAAACGGATACCCAGGCAGATTTTCTGATTTGAGCCACTAATATTGTACCGTTGCTTGGAGGTGGAATTGGGTCATTGCTACCTGCTGCAAGTGCTTACTACAGTGTGCAGAACTAATATGGGCATCAAGTTTGTGTATTTAATCCTAAAGTACTGGCTAACTCTTGCTGTGGGGTCGATCCTTTCCTTTGCCTATTTGTAAACCAAGCTTTGTAGATGGGCTTGTTGTGTTATTTATTAACATAATGCCAGATACACGTTAAGAATGTGCTTAATGTCCTCATTTAGGAAATTGCTCAACTCATTACCAGTAATAATAGTTGTATGCTACTGTCAAAGCCTATCCTATCCTTCCAGGATGTTCTGTGATTTGTGCAGTTTAAATAGTCCAAATGATAAGAAATAAACTATTTTTCTTTCCACTCTTTTCTGATTTTTAAACACTTTTTTATTCTAGCTAGCCCGTAGGAAAATATTGACTCATTAGGGAGCTTTGCAATATATCTATTGTATATGTATTTATCTGCACTCACTCACTTCCCTTCCATATTCACTGCTAGTAATGTACTGAAGATTGTCTTAAACTGAGAATACAAGGATTCTTTTGCAATTTTCAATAGCTTATTAAGTTCATTGTTATGATTGACTAAATACCCTTGAGTATCTCTGTGATTTACAGATGTCAATATGCACAGTGACTAAAGGATAGCATTAGAGTTCTACAGCTTCAGATTTCTATTTACATATTTGTATTTGAGCCTAGAAAACTGCTGGAGAGATATATATGTAGCAATGCTTGTGTGTTGTACCTCTAACATTTATTCTGTTGGCTATTGTGAATTTAGTTTATGGTTTTACTTGCCTTGCAACTAAATAAATGATCTATCAGCAATTTAACAAAAAGACTGAATGTTTTTAATGCCTGAAACTTTCTACCCTTTGTCTTAGAAGGTGAGACATTTCTTTTCTTTTTTCTTTTTTTTGCATTAAATCACTAAGAGACTGTAGGGTTTGGCCTTAGTGCAGAGTTGGATAATGCAGGAATATCCTTCAGCTGCAACAGATCTTTGAGTATCCGAAGCATATTTGTAGCTTTGCTGCCAACTATAAATATTTCTCCCACTTGTTTATAGATTTATATGCCTTAGATAGTATTGAAACATTCCAACTTTTTATGCGTTTTCTCATCTAATTGAATGTAAATCCCTGAAGTTGTTATTGTACAGGGAAGTTGCAAGCATATATCATTTATTTCTTATTTTCATGGATGATAGGGTCAGCTATAGCCTCCAGTTCTCATATAAACCTGTCCTGAAATTTATTTTTCTCATTTTGATTCCTTTTAAGCATAATAAACAGGGGGACTTGGTTGATACAGCTCTATTATGAATAGACTAGAAATCTACTCTTCCTCCAGCCTATGGTGTGATCACTGGGGCTCTGAATTTCTGACTGTGCCTCTATTTGAAGACTATATCTATAGAGGTTCTGTAGCATGCATACATATTTGAAATATGTTCTTCTATTAGAAAATTAAAAAGAGGCATTTATTCTTACATTCAGTCAAATGTAATGAGCCCTTTTGTGTCAGTGTGAGGATTGGAAAAAAAATCCAGTACCTTTAAGAGGAAAGAAGATGGAGTGAGGGAAGGGAAGAAGAGACTGAGGTTGTGTCTTACTATACTTCTGAGGTTCTTCTTTTTCTTGCAGACAGCATAGAGGATGACTTTGAGCTCTCCACGGTTTGTCATCGGCCTGAGGGTCTGGAACAACTACAGGAACAAACTAAGTTCAGCCGCAAAGAGCTACAAGTCTTATACCGAGGCTTCAAGAACGTGAGTTCAAAAGACTCTCCTCTTTCTAGCTGGCATTTCCTTATGGTGTGATTGCATTCTTTCTTTCCTCTCTTGAGTTGCTTCCTTATTAAATGAGCAACCATAGTTATTTATTTACTATGTACCCAAGTTATTATAACATTGGCAGGTTTCTTATTTATATTCTAAAAACTTGAACACTTCTTCTTTTAAGCCTTTTTTTTTCAATAAGAGATTTTATCTGTATTATATAACTTAATACCACATTCTGGTAGCAGTTTTCTCTTCAGAATCAATTTCCATACTACTTTCTGTCTTTATTAGGATTTCCAACAAATATATCTTCCCCTCTTTCTAAAGGACAAACTACATTCAGCTACTCCTCATTTTACTTTAAACCACCCCCCTTATTATCATTATTTGGAGACCTAAATATGATCATAGTATGCAGGTGCAGAAGGATTAATTTTCTATTTACATCATCTCCTTTTTACTCTTCAGTTTAAAGCAAGATTAAAAACTCAACCCCCATTGTTGCCAATTTTGTTTAGATATTTTTCAGAACCTGAAGGGTGAATTTTACAAAGGGAGTGGCAGCTGAAGGAAGAGGCATTAACCTCCCTCTTGATTTTAGTCAACATAATGCATAGCAGTATTAAGAGAAAAAAACTGAAGCCTGCTATGTATTTATCGCATTAAGTTGCTTGAAGACATAATAGAACAGCATAAAATTATGCAATTGTTATATAAATGGCTTTGTACTATTTTTGTATTATTTTTCACATAAAGCTGCAGTTATACCACTTTCATTTGAAACATTTAGTTCCATGTAATTCAGTAATCTTCTTTTCTTAATTTCTTCCATGGTACTCTCAGAGGTCTTCTGAAATACCAAAACCATACATATTCTTTCTATCCTACCTCTTCAAAGTCCAACTTTGCTTTCATAGAGTATCACAGGGAAAACCTATTTCCACACAATTCTGAATTTTGTAGTCACAACATCTAAATATTTTTTTCAAACCTTCATTGTGATCCTACTAAGTTTGAGAGCCAGTTTGCTGTAGTGATTGAGGCATCACACTGAAAACCAGAAGACTGTGAGTTTTAAGCCCACTTTAGGTATGAAGCTGGCTGGGTGACTGAGACAGTTATCTTCTCTCAACCCTAAGAAGAAGGCAATGGCAAAATTCCGAATCTGGCCAAGAAAAAAGCAAGGATTTGTCCAGGAAGTCATCAGGTGTCAACACTAATTCAAAGACACCAAAAACAAACAAACAAATAAATCTTCGTTATCCTACGAAATGCTAGTCTGCAGCATATTTCTTGATTGTTGGATCCTTTGCCGTTTATAGATGATCCTGAAAGATAGCAGCTATCCACCACTTCAGTAACTTCGTTGTCAGTGCTAAGGCTTGGTTACTACACTTCCCATTTGTTCACTGCCAACACCCTAGCCTAGGGATAACTAATATCCAAGTTCTTCAAAAGGAGGGAATTCTTCTTTCTGTTATTGTTTGATGGGGAAACTAAAATCAGTTTCTCATAAATTAGACTGCATGTCACACTGGGATATTGTAGGTTAGCAATTCCAACTGGTGATCAATGTGCAATTTTCTATTTGATAGGAATGCCCTAGTGGGATTGTTAATGAAGAGAGCTTCAAGCAGATCTACTCACAATTCTTCCCACAGGGAGGTAAGTCCTTCATCAAAAGAGCTAATATTTTGGAAATGTTGCAAAGCTAGGTAAGTAGAATAAACTGGCAGTTGTTGGAAATAAAAAAGGATGACAGACTTTACATCCTCAGTTATAGCTTTCTTACCTTCACTGCCATATATCCCTGGAATCATCCTCTGCCTCCCTCACACGATAAACATAAAGTAAAAAATGTGAACACTGTTCATTGGATCATATATTAAAGGAATAGTGACTGTTGTCAAGTCAACTGTGGCACTTTTAAATATGGTCACTTTCTTTGCCTGATATTAAGTGGACATTTTTCTTATTTAAAAGATATACATAGTTGTTCAACTCATATAATCATGGCTTTGGACAGTGTATATCAGTGGTGGGATTAAAAAAATTATTAATAGTTCTATGGGCATGGCTTGGTGGGTGTGATAGGGGGAAGATACTGTAAAATCTCCATTCCCACCCCACTCCAGGGGAAGGATACTGTAAAATTCCCATTCTCTCCCCACTCTACTAACCTGCTTTCTAGCTCCGTTCTCCTGTGCAGGGCTACACAAGAAGACCCAGCCAATCAGCTGGGACTCGGGAGGCAGAGAATAGATGGGGGCGGGGCCAGTCAGAGGCAATACTTGCTGGTTCTCTGAACTACTCAAAATTTCTGCTACCGGTTCTCCAGAACTGGTTAGGACCTGCTGAACACCATTTCTGGTGTGTATCAAATATAAACCAAACAAACAACAATTACAGGCAAGAAACCATACAGAATTGTATATTATCTATAAACAATGTATCAGTGGCAACCAAACACAGTCCACCTCCAGAAGACAGTTCATTAAACATCCTGGCTCAATAACTGGGACAGAAAGCAGGTTTTAAAGCTTTCTGGGAGGTCAACGGTGTTTGGGCCATTTTAATCTCAGAGGAACATCATTTCAAGGGGCAGACAGTGCCATAGAACAGGCACAATTCTAGATCCCAATAGACAACATTGCCTCAGGGAGAGGATCTGGAGCTTCCACAACATGTGAAAGTGGGTGGGATGGGCAGAAATGATCAAAGTCTGGTGATCCTGAAAATAATCTGGCCCTAGGTTTTGTTTTGAAATCAACTTCATGGTTATGTATCACAGAACCATTTTGTAAAAGTGATACTTGTTCTCCTATCCCCAAACCCTAAAGTTTTGCCATAGCTGAATGTTTTATTAGCTTTTTCTAATTTTACTTTAGTTAAAATAAATTTATTATTCCAATTCTAACCTGACATAACTATTGAATATTTGAAAAATGAAGGGCTCAAGGTACAAAATTATTCTTGGAATACTGTATTCTCAGTTCTAATGGAATATAAAGAGAATAGCGATGAAATGTTCAGCCACTGCTTTGGGAGACATCTAGTTACGCCCTTTGTACTTTTTCTATATATATATCCTTTCTGGCATGTAAAAGATAAACACTATACTACATAGCTCTCTCAATTAGTTTCACAGAAAGTGAAATAACAGGATGCTACATTGGTTGCTGATACAGTTTTAATAGTACTGTTTCACTGTTACTTGTTACTAAAACTATTCTTAATTTGATATGTATTTGTATTAATGCATGCCCTTGTGTTTACAAATGAGGATAAATGTTGAAATAATTATAACTTTTGTAACAAAGGGTAAGAGATCATCATGTTATGGCATCTATAATTTCAAAAAAGTTGCAGCTTAGCTGTTTTCTCTAATAGTTTCCTGATAACCAAATGATTCAATAAAGTCAGCTAAAATATGCATACATGGTACTTCTTACTAGATTTGATATATCTGTTTTTAGATTCTAGTACATATGCAACTTTTCTTTTCAACGCATTTGATACTGACCACGATGGCTCTGTCAGTTTTGAGGTAAGATTCCATGTACTTATTTTATATGTGAGCCCCTACAAAACTTCTTTGGGCAAACTACAAACTGAAAGCTACCGTGCCTACCCTTATTTATTATGTATTTATGTATACAGAATCTGTGTTATGTATTTTTCTATGACTGCCCATCTCACTATGGCAACTTTGGGCAGCCAACAGCTATTTAAAAAAACAATAAAAATGAAATCAAATACATAAGTGTTAGGACAAAAAAAATAAATTTACAGGCTCTGACAATATGACCCCCATGACTGGGAACACAACCACTTCTTCAAGGCTTTTACAAAATCCAACAGGGTTGGGGCCAATCTATTTTTCTAGCGGAATGATGTTCCAAAGGGGAAGTGTTATAATAGAAAAGGTTCATTTCCTGGGTCCTGCAAGGTGACACACCTTAACTGATAAGACCATAGCATGTCTCTTCTGCTGGATCTGATTGGGGAAGTAGAAATTATGCCTAAGGATAAATGCCTTCTGCAAAGTAATTAGTATTTTTGAAGAAATTTTATTTATCTTAGCAGTTATATTCAGGGCTCACATGGGCAAAGTAAAGCATAAATAACACAAATTTGCAAAAAAAGCATTAACCTCCTTTAACCTCACTCCAAAAAGATGGGCTACAATAGAATTTTACATGCTAGTGCTGATGGAAGTCCAAGAATTTATTTGATGTGTTCAAATAAATACGTCTATTGTTAGATTTTTTTTTTAAAGGAATACAAGCTTCTCTATTCTAATTCTCTATTCTAATTTTGAACTTTGCCATTCAACTAATCATTGAATAATAGGCCATCTACTGGTACTAACAGAATCTATCTCTGTGCTTCAGAATTTAACAGATGACAGAATGCATATTTTAAAAGGGGTGTTTATCACTGACAATACAAAAACAGTATAAAAACTATGCCAAAGATTTCCAGCAATTCTAATTAAAGGAGAGGTTGAAAATAATTGCCCATAGCTGTGTTATATGTATTAAACTACTGAATCTTGAGCAGTTGTATTTTCATTCGAATATTCCGCTCCAAGGAAACCATGGATACAGATAGAATTTATCAGTTTTTTTACTGTAGTCATTGGATCTACTTTACATTCCTGTAGCATATATCACAGTTCTAGTAGTGCTTAGACTGTATTTCACCCTTTTTTCTATCACCTTCTCTCTTGCAGGATTTTGTAGCTGGTTTATCCATTATTCTCCGTGGCACTATAGATGATCGGCTCAGTTGGGCCTTCAATCTCTATGATCTGAACAAAGATGGCTGTATCACCAAAGAGGTACAGACAGTAGCAGAAATCAGCAGGGTCACAAAAGATGATGAACTTTGCTGTATCTGCTTAAGTAAGATCCACTGGCCACATTGACTAATAATTCTTTCTGTGTTTTGACTTTCAGGAAATGTTGGATATAATGAAATCCATTTATGACATGATGGGCAAGTACACTTATCCAGCCATGAGCGAAGATGCACCCCAGGAACATGTGGAAAATTTTTTCCAGGTAAGCTTAGTATCAGAATATTTCCATGTTAACATCCTGCATTTTACCTATGAAAACATTTTCACAGTAAAGAATATGTATTATTTTGGTCTGCTTTTTGGGAGGACAAAATCTTCTTCGTCTTCATATTTTTCCCTTTCATTTTGGTTCCCAGTGCTTCCCATAGTATAATTCTATAATTATGTTCACAAACCTTTTTAGCAACTCAATTGTTTCTGTCTCCTTAAATCAGTTGTGTTCAATCTTGGTAACTTTTAAGACTTATGAATCAACTACCATGCTATTTGGGGAATTCTGGTAGCTGAAGCTCACAAATCTCAAAATTCTCAAGGCTTTTCTACCTTAAACACTTTCAAAATAGTATTAATGAGATATAAAGCCATTTTCTACTGATAGGGCTCTTCCGATCACAGACATAGATCTAGGCTGGAAATGTGTTGAGTTCAGATATTATAGGGTGCTTCTCTGCATCTGAAGGTCCTCCTAGGAAACTGCATAGTTTCTTCTTCAATGTTCATTTACATTTCAGAAAATGGATCGGAACAGAGATGGTGTGGTGACTATTGATGAATTCATTGAATCCTGTCAGAAGGTAACACCACTGTCCTCCTGGTATTTTAATTCTTTATAGCAATGAGTAAGGAAAAAGTATATAGGCAGTCCTATTCTTTGCTCTATAGATAACAACTTTTATCACTACCATCAGTGAGATCAAGAAGATGTGATATTTTACTACTGGCTCTGGATTTATATTAATACTATTGTGGCACAATTGAGCACAATCCAAGGCAGGTTGTGAGGGAAGAGAGCTGAAACAACATTTTTAGTAACAGTAAAGCTATACTGTCTTAATTTCCCACTTTTTCTAAGCCTTGATTTCATCTTTTCTCTGGCAGGATGAAAACATCATGAGTTCCATGAAGCTTTTTGACAATGTGATCTAGCTGACCATACCTGGAGTCAAGACCATCATATACAAACCAGGGCTTCTCTCCTTGGTGTATCCTGAGGCACTCTTCCCTTGGCTGCATGGACAAAGCAGGCCCATTTTGTGGAGACAATCCTCATGCACTCAAGATCCAACTGGGGTGGGATGGGGAATCCCTACAAGGGGAATGAAATGGGAGTCTTTGTCTGGATTCAATAAGAATAGGCAAGGAGTGTGTCCTAGAATTCACAAACTCTTATTCTGGGAAATTAACTACAAAATGAATTGTTGCCTCCGGACAAAAACTGCACTGACCTATCACTATATAATGTGCTTTTCCTTAAGACTTCTCAAAATCACAGCTACCCCATGATCCTGCATTAGGGCTTTCACACCCTCAAACGGCAATGTAAAGCATAATTAAAAAAGTAAACTCTTGTAAATCTTACCTTCAAAGAAGGGAATCTATCTGATCTGCACCAAGGTTCTCACAGCACATGGAGTAATCTAATGCTTCCAACAAATGGAGGCAATATTTTTCAGTGTTAAGCTATCTTGCAGTTCAACGCTATTACATTCAATGGAACTCAGCTTTTCTGGAGAAAACTGCAGAAGAATGGCATTTCGCTTTGAAAATTCTTTTGTTTGCATGCACCCCCCCCCAAAAAAAAACACCACACACACACACACACAATCATGTGGGTATTTTGTATCACTCCAGACCAAAGTGCAAAAGAACCATTAGTTTTTTTTAGAAATCAGGAGATAAATTATGTTCAGGTTGCTATTCAGAGAAAAAGTACTTAAGCAAATAATTGGGTCAAAGATTTTCACTGCTCCTTGTCTTAGTAAATAATGTGCAAACAGAAGTAGAAACAGAGAAATCTACTTAATGGAAATATTTAGGTCAGAGCTCCAGCATCCTTAAATGAGAAACAGAGAGATCAGCTAAAAGTTTTGAATAGCAATATGCTTAATGCCATGGTAATATCTATGTGTGAGGGCTCTGGACTCTTGTGGCATTAGGGCAGAATTCAACATTGTGCCTTGTCTTTGAATTATGCGTATAGGCAGATTACAAGCAGAAGTATTGTCGGATGAAAAGGGGAGAGAAGTAGGGAAAAAATATATGGGAAAACAGAGGGAGATATACCTGGCTGTTCCCTTCCTGTGCCAACAATCTCCTTTTTCTGCAAAGGAACTTTGAGCACTTGCTCAAAGCACTTGCAAAATGCTATTTCTGTGAGTTTGTTTGCTGGTTTTGTTACTGTAGCATTACCATGATAAACAGCCTATGGGCCCTTCGGTTGTCAAAGCATTACAAACAACGAACAACTTCAGAGTATGCTTTCTCCAAGCACATGCCAGGTTCCATACAGAACACAACAGTAACACAGGCACATTGAATAGGCCCAACAGGAATGCAGTAAAAAGACAGTAATAGGGATGTGCTAGGGAAACCAGTAGTAGAGGAAGAAGTGATAAAATGTAGGTCATTTATAAAACACTTTGAAAAAAAGTGAAGCCTTTTTTAAGGGTTTAAGTAAAAATAAAAATAAATACAAAGGTGCTGATAATAGAGCAGCTGCGTAAACTCAGGAGTACAACATGGAAAGTACACAACAAAGGAAGAGAACCAGTATGGAGTAAAATACAAGGAAAGAGGAACTTAACACTGAATACATTAACCAAAGTCAATTTCAGGGAAAATGTAATATGGCAAGGGATGAGACCACTTGGGACATTCTGAATAGATTGGAGGAAAGATGCCCAGCAGGAGGGAATGAAGATATTATACTGAATCAAGAAAAGAGGTAATAGGAAAATAGGCTTTATTATTTACATACAAAAGAAAACAAGCAGCAAATATGAATATTCTAACAGTGGCAAAGCTGAATCATAACAGACAAAGAAGATACCAAAGCACATAGTTATCACTGTATATACCTTTCTCCAAAATGATGCCCACAAATTGACTGGCTATTAGATATCTGAAAAAAGTGTTTTGGACAATACTGTTGCATCTCAGGAAACCCTGCAGAAATATTACAACAGTAGCTTTTAAGAACTCCCCATCAGCACAATCATAGAAGTCGCAAATTGGGAAGATGTAAAGTTAATATTTAATAAATAGATGACTACTTTTTACCTTAACTCCCCTGAAATAAATAGTCTTTTCTAATACACAAATATTACCTTTAATCCACATTCCTCTTTTAATGGCAGACTGTTCTTGTATTTCCTCTTAATAACCAGCCCTGATAACTTCTGAGGTTTCTTTTTCAGTTTCAGGTCCCCCTCCTGCGCTATTAATAATCATTAGGGTACCTTGTCACACAAAGTAAACTCCAAGGATTTCTACTATAGGAACTGCAAGAGGAATAAATATTGCAAAAGAAATGTAGGAAATATTGGATTGAGTTTAGAAATGGAACAGTCTGGCTCAGGATTTATTAGCTATGCAAACAGGCTGCCATGCGCATTGTAGCCACAAATGGCTCTTCCCCTTCTTGAAATTATTTTACATTTTGCTACTCCATTACATCATCATATGTATATTATTAAGGATAACTGGAATCTAGATCCATAGACCAAGTTCAGTATCATCCATTAAGATTTTTTATTTTAATTTTCTTCAAAGAAACATTTTCTTAATATTTTGTTATTTTTCTCATTTGATCTAAAAACCCTATTCTATTTACCATATTTTCTTAGCTTCCATACTTCATTTCTGCAATCTCCTTCAATACTTCTGTTGGGCTAATCTCAGATGCAAGTTGATTCAATGTTCTTTAAATTCTCAAAGACCCAAAATAGTAGCGAGGGAGAGAAAAAATATCACTTCAGTTCCCTGACCATCTACAATGGCCACTCAGGTCAGTCAAAATAATTGGTATTGCATTACTAATAGCTGCTTATTATTCTCTAATTTTTCCTTACAACAGTTGTCTAAAGAGATATTTGCTATAACTGGTAAACGATGTCACTGGAATTAGCTAGTTCTGTATAGTGGCCATTCAATTTAACATACACAGCATATTACTATTAAATTTTCTACACTGTTAGGGACAGAAATGTCTTGCTGTAATACGGAAGTTCAACAGAGCACAGCATGGGGGAAAGCTACACTTTATGTTTCATGATTAATATGAAGAAATGCCACATGGTGGCAAGATATTTAAATTGGTGCTGATAAATATAAGTGGGGCAAAGTCAGAGGAGTAGCCTCTGGCATTTGCATTAGAGGAATTCCTCAGCCAAGATGGTTAGAAGTATGACTGCTGTGTATCATTCTCTTATACTATTATCAAAGTAATTTATTCTTATTTTGCCTAACTAGAATATATTTCTTATTCAAAAGTATGTAAGATTTCAATACTTATATAGCTCAATTTGCCATCCAACCCATTACAGTCTTGTCTTTTCAATCAGCAGAAGATATTTGCCCACTCCCAAGTATATAGATATCATATAATCGTAATCTTGATTCCTTGGAACCAAGAACCACACAAGGATTTACTCGGAGTGCTTTTATTGTTGCTGGCCTATAGACAGGAATCTTGGCAGACTAAAGCACAATCTGCATAACAATTACATTTACCCCATGAAAGGTTATTGAGGTTCCACTCTGGCCCTCTTCCTGCATAGCAAGGATTCCAGATTGATTTGCTCCTTGGGAAAGACCCCACTCCCTCCTGCAAGTCTGTACCACATTCTACCACAATGTCTCACTTATAGAAGAGAGAGGAAATGAAGAAATGTGCAGTGATGTCATAATATAAATGTCACACTTTACTTGTGTCATATATTGGACCTTAAGCACGGGACATAATTGCCACCTGGAGTTGCCATGTGTGAGATGGGTGGCTATATAAATCGGTGAAATAAATAAATGAAATATTTGCAACATTTATGTGATGACACCATTATGCACCTATCATCATTTTGCATCATCACAGTTTGTTGCACATAGAGGTGAACTCATTCCTCTATTTTCTCTTAGTTCCGATGCAATTTTAGATCTATGGGAAATTATCCTGAGAGCAAATAAGAAACTCCACATCAATTTTCTGATTACAATGAACTCTACAGATTTTTTGCCATCAGGTTAAAATAAGGGCTTCTATCCCCATTTGAGGAAGCAATTCTCCATGCAAGGGTACAATTCACATTTGAAAATAGTGTCTTAGGCTATATATAAAATTTCAATGAATGCAGATTTTCTTCCTAATATCCAATAAAATAAGTTTTTACAAGTATGGATGGTACAATTTATAAATTTACTCACTATGACTTCTGCAATGCATGTTTAATGGTAAAGTGAGAGTTTCAATTTGCTTTAGAGATTATGACTACATGAAGCGATTATTTTGTAAAAGATTATGTCATATGCCCTTCTCATTTGGCAATACATTTGCTATTTTTCCCATCACACTGACGTTGTTTCATAAATTGACTCTGCAAATCTACACAATTCCTTCCGAATTTGGTCCTTCCACATGTGTTCAAGTCTTATCATTGCCAATCAGCAGTCCAACAGACTAGACAGGAATGATAAGATTGATAGCTCAATACATCTGGAAGGGTTAGTTTGTAAGTCTGTTCTAATCTATGTTTCAACCTGACATATTGGTTCAAAATGCCTCTGTATGATTTTCTGATTATTGCAATTACAGTATGTTTTTGAGTAGATGTTAAATACATGTGTGGGGTTATATTCAGTTCTGGAAGTTGGAGACTGATGATTCTGTTGACTGTTCCTTACTCACATACTAGCTGCTTCCTTCTGTCATTACAATCAGTAGTGGGACCAAGCAGCCTAATTCCACTGGACAAGCTCTGCTATCAGCTTTGCATTTTCATCTGTATATATTTTGTATAATAACAACCAGATATAACAATAAAATGCACATCTAATGGCTATGCACAAACACCATAGCCTCTGCTATTGTTTGCTTTGCTATGTTCTTTTCACAATGAGTTTTGGGATAATATGTCCTATATACTATACTCTTCCCCCTTTTCTCTTTAATGCCTCTTATGTTTTGGTTCATATTTCACCATTAGGACATGAGATTTTCTAATACAAATTCCATCTAAAGCCTGCTTTTAAAATTATAGCACAACACATTATAATCAATTTTACAAATTTTATATTAAAATTTAAAACCTTTTGGTTGTATTTATAGTTGTCTTTGCCTTTGGCAGACAATAAATAGCTGTTTTAATATTAGATTCTGATTCTTTTGACAAGTGAAAGTTCTGGTTCTCCAAATTAGATGCTAATAGGTTCCAACTAAATTTTGTATTGTAATACTGCCATCACAACAAGAATTAGAACATATCTAACATGATGAAACTGGGATACATTTTGTACTTTTAGATATTGTCAGTTTAGGTATAATCATTCTCTCACAATTGGTCTGCGGAAACTAAACATTTAGTTTCAAAGCATCTCAGTAAAACATCTATTTTTCTAGATGAACATGCTATGTAAACTTATGCAAATATACATATGATCTCTACAACAAACATGTGGAAACTATGCAACCACAACTTCTATTTTCCTTTTTACCACAGCTCATTAAAGGATGTGAAATTGTATTTCATAATACAGTTCAATATTCTATTATTTTACTTCCTATGCATTCAATCCCAGCTGCACAAATCATGCAGATGCTCAGGATTTCATGGTTTTCCTCTAATAAACTATGATCCATTTTATTTCCTTTAAAAGTACACTTACAGTACATTCCAAACCACTATAGTTTTCATCAGCATTGCCCTTTCTTTCGCCCAAGGAAACTCTGGGCTTGCCTGCGTGGTCGGGGAGGGAAACCACCACAGAAGGCAATTGCGAAGATGCCAAAAACATCCTGAGTTACGAACAGTCGAGCTGGAGTCGGAACTTTTACACTTTCCCGGCTTGGACAGAAATAAAAGATAACATATTCGGGCAACGCATTTATACTGGAGAGACAAGCCTCTTCCCTGAAAATTTGAAACAGGGAAATTATATTGAATAAGCGAAACAAATTAATGCCCCTTTCCAGGCTTTGGGACAGTATTTTTTTAACCGCTTAAAACACAGCAACGGAAAGGCTTTCTGGTTTACCAGTGAAATACAACATTTCTAGTATGTATTGCTGAGTTATTTCATTTTTTACATTGTAGGTTAACGGTCGAAGGAATGCAATATTTTCCTTAGGCGCCCTCAATGTTGCTCAGCAACCAGACACTAAATATATACTGTAAGGAACAGCTCCTCCACGTCAACCGCAAGGAAACTAAAGTAATGCAGAAGGACGGCGATGAACTTTTCGGCCTGCACAAGACTCCGCCCTCATGCACAATATTAGCCTAAATAAAATTATCACTACCTTTCGCGCTTTAAATTCTGCGCTTGCGCTTTAACTCCGGCTACTTTGTTTATTTTCCTTCTCACTTGCGCCGTACCGCCCCCGGAGTCTATCCAGTAACCACGCATGCGCTGTAATGTCTAGCTGCGAAGCCAACGCCCGTCACATGCGCAGTAGAGCAAGACTTCATTTTTTGCGCGTGCGTGCAGGCGCGTCCCTGCTCCTCTGACCCTGGTAAGCATGCGCACTTAGTAGCCTGCGAGCCTCTTACGCCTGCGCTGTAAGGTTTTTCCGTCAGTTCTGCCCCCACCCTTACAATAGTCCGTTCGTTCTCTCGAAGCCAGTGTCGTGTTTGAGTGGTTCGCTCGCGATTCGTGTCTCTGGCTGGCGCGCGGAGGGAACAGAGGTGGAGCCGCACGTGATCAGCAACCGCGGCCCCGGTTGGAAATCGAGAGTGCGGAGCGGTTGGTTCCGGCTTGGACCAGTTGGGGCTGGTTTTCTCCGCGCAAGCGCAGCCTAGCCTGGTTAGAGTGGAGGGAAGGGCGATGGCGGCGGACGGTATCCCTGGAGTGGATCTGGCTGGGATGGTGGCTGAAACGCGGGGGGAACCTCCGGGCACCTCCGTTCCTGCATCTACGACCGTTTCCTCGCCCCGAAGTGAGTCGCCCCCTACAAGAACGGACCCCTCGGGCCCAGAAGCGGTTCCCGAGAGTGGCTCCGGAGCTGTGGGCAATGCGGGAGCACGGCGATTCCTCTGCGGCGTTGTGGAAGGTAATGGAAAAGAGCTCGGAAACGGGTGGGACCCGGGGCTGGTCACCAGAAAGAGCGCTGAAAAAGGAGACCCGCCATTTAAACAAAGCGTTGTTTCCACCACCACCTCTCTCGCCTTCCTTACTCTTCACCTCTTTGTGTAGCGCCTGACTCCGCCCAGCAGGAAAATCTGGCGGAGGAGGAGAAGGAGGAGGTGGTTTTCACTTGGCTCCTTCTTCTCATCCCATCCCCGTTTAGTTGATCGAACTTGGCCGAAGCCCCATGACTAACATGCCGCCGGGCGTAAAATGAAGCCTTTAAAAGAAGTGTCCCGGGTTGAATTGTTTGCGAAGCGCTTTTTGTGTATAAGGGTTTGTTTTTTTCTAGAAAAAAGGTTACAGCAATATAGATCAGATCAGTTTTTGAACTTCTAGATTAGGTTCTAAATTAGTGTTGGGCGCAAGGATGAAAAGCAAAACTAATATAGAGGTAGGTGCATCCTCTAGTCTGAAGATTGTAATTATCTGAGCTGCAAGCTTTCTGGGAATATTTAGCGGATTGTTTCCACTAGGCTATAGTGTTAACTATATAAACACGTTAGATGCGGGCAGGTTTGTGCTCACCTAGGATGCCCTATGAGACCTGATATAAAATCTTAGATTGATAAGGCTCGTTCTCTCAGACTTTTTCCTAAGCAAAGGTGATGAATAATCATCTATGTGTTTGTTTTAACCAATTGCTAATACTACTGAGAATTTCTTATTTGAATTCTAAAATATTTGTATAGTATTTATATTTTGTTATCTTTGTGGGGTTTTTTGCCTTTAAAGCAATAACTTTAAAATGACAATCTCAAGGTGTTTTCATTGGATATGTGAAACATAATTAGTTATTTTACGATGTAATTACTAGAATTACTTTTGCCTACAAAAATAGATTACTACAGGTTTAGGAAATATTTTGCTTAGGTACTGTACCATTTTCTATTCTAGAGCGAGCCTAAAACACATAGCTAAGAATGTCATTCAAATCTTGGATTGGTTTTCTTTCTAGTAACCACATTGGCTGCAGTTGCAGTTTGTTTTATTGGCTTGCGCTATAGCAGAATATTTGTATCAGAACAAAGAAACACGGTGATATATAAACATGAAAAATAAGTTTGTGTTCAATTATTGTAGTATGGTTAATATGGGGGAAGATGCATCTAGGTTAATAATTGCCTTGTGCAATATTCAGGAATGGAATAGAATTTGGATGATTAGCAGATATTTCTAGATGTGCAGTTAATACATCAATCCCAGTATATTTCAAACTATATTGAAAACACTATTAACAATTGAAACTGTAATATAGTTAAATTTATAATTGAATATGCTTATTCAATTGCATGTGTGCTAAAGCATAGGAAACTGGAATGCAATGCATAGATCTAATCCCTCCCCCTGCCTTTTTAGAATAAACTTTTGATAAAAATGACAGATTGATGGTTTTGACAACTTGAAAGGAGTATAACAGTTTCCCATGCTGGCGATTGTTGAAAGTTTGTGCTTATAACAATAGGAAAGATTTCAGTCTATTTTAATATAAACATTCTGTATTATAAGTAGCATTTATTCTGAACTACGCTAGGATGATTTTATAAACAATTGAAGAAAAATATAGTATAGATTTATATAACGGCCATTAAAAGGAAAGGTGGTAAATAATAAAAACACTTTTTTTTGGTTGATGAGCTGATATATATAGAAATAGATGTTCCTCCCAGTTTTGGGAGATGGAGTTGTCTCTTTAGCTATTTGGATTGAGCATCTTATGGTTGGTGATTACCATCTTATTTTTTCAATATTCACATTATTGAGATTAGTACTCAAAAAGAGACTTATTGAAGTAAACTGTCTCATGGATCCAGTCAGGACAAAATACAATACCTGAAGAAGCATAATCTGTGGTTTTGGAATCACAGAGAAGATACTCTTCCACTTTCACCTCAGCGGACCCTGGCAATGCTAGAGGCTTCCATCTTTAATGGATGTGTGCTAGAAGACTTAGTATCAAAATAAGATCAGAACAAGAGAGATTATGTAATCTCTGAGAGTTATATCAAGACTTGTAACAATGTTATGTTAAAATTTTGACTCATTCTTTCTAGCATAGTAGCCACATGGAGGTTTGGGAGATGTTGTTATGGTAACTAATACCAATGTCATTAATGCATTAGAACAGATTTTCAGATAGACATTATTTCAAAAGCTTATTCATTTTTATTCAAATATATTGGGACAAATCCTGGTGTATAATTTTTATACAGGAAAAGTTGGAGGATGTTCTTATATAATGATACTAATTTATATAAATTAATTATCCAGTGCCTCTTAAAGTATTAAACCCTACTATTAGTGTATTCCTGAACTGTATGTGCAATGTTACAATAATCTTGAATCTGAGGCTACTGTTGGAAGATCACGTGGCAGCTCTGTATTCCTTCATATACCCTGCAGGTGGCCCTGAGGTGTTTAGAAAGTACTGTACAGGTAATGCAAAATATGGCAGTTATACTGTTGACTAATATGTATTTTACAGGTGTGAAACAGTTTTGAATTAGCCTTATTCCAAGTTTCCTTTGAGCTCAATTCATTTATAAAAGTGTAAACTGCTTAGGGCAAAACTAACTGAATGTCTTCTACTTTTTAAATGAATCTTCCCATAATTTTTGAGTGCTATTTATTCATTTTTTTAAAATGCTAAACATCTTCAAGCTGCCTTTATCTTTCCAAGGTAAAATTAATAAAAAAGCTGGGTGACTAGGGGCCATCACACATTGTCATCCCAACTCACCTCATAGAGTTGATGTGAGGAAAATAGAAGGAAGAAGTATTATGGATGCTGCCTTACTTTTATAGTAATAAAGGGTAGATAAAAAATAAATAATAATCCTAATAAACAAATAAAACTAAAAAGTAATTTAGCAATCTAATAAAATACCCAGAGACAAATGAATCATTTAACTTTTTTAAAAAAAACTTGAAATGATGCAATCTTTTAGATTCTAGTTAATACATTTCTAAAACAGGCTGCTATTGCTACAGAAAATCTTTATCTCACCCATCTTAAGTACTTCATAGTATGGATTTGTGAGAAGGAATACTCTTGTGAATCTTAAACCATTGGTAAGTAATATGGATGAAGCAGTCTTTCAAATAACAATTCAAAAAACCTTCAATAATAATTCTTACACTTTTGACAATTCAGATGATATAGTAAAAAACCAATTATGTGATCCTGATCAAACTAGAAGCTTTGCATTCATACAACATATTAAAATGTTTTTGCCAGATACACTTGGGTAACTGAAGTTAAGATCAAACATCTTTAAATAAAGTACTTATTTATCATAGAATCATAAGGGAAAATAATTCTTGGCTCCTTTTCTAATCTAAATCCTTTTAAGTAGCATTTAATCTAGGAGAATTCCTAAATTCCACTCTTGTTCTTCAAAGTAGTACACTCCATCTACTGTTACATCTGTTCACATAGGATATCTGTTTCAACTATTTCTCACAGGTGCAGAAATTAGGTAGGCAAGACAAGATTATAAATGCTATTTTATATGAATATTATGAAAACAAGCATTTGGTCAAAGCTTTCTGTTGTGGAAGTTCATTATTTCAAAATAATTTTAATACTTAAATTTATACCTTCAATATTTTTTACAGGTTTTTATGGAAGACCTTGGATTATGGAACAGAGAAAGGAGCTTTTTAGAAGGTATATGACATCATGCTTGTTCTGCAGTTTTATGCTATGTAATTATTTGGTTGTCCTTTAAAAATGCAATTAAAGCATAGATTTAAAGAATCAAATAATTAACAGTAAGTTATTGCAAAATTCTGTAATTCATGCCTTTCTTAATTTCCAAAAAACTTATAAATGGATGTTACTTTATGATTAATAAATCAGTTATTTGTGGTTTAAAAGCTTAGAACTGCTTTTACTTTTTCTTCCCTTAATTTCTTTTAAAAAGCAGGTTCCAGCTAATAAAGTTAGGGCAATATTGTACCTTATGCTTCAGGATTGTATTTCACATTCCATTGGTTCCAAGTGGTTTGGAGAAATTGGGGCAATTCTGTTAATATTAGGGACATGATTTTGAATGAAGATCCACAAATAAATTTATTTGTGGTCATCACAAATAAATGACCATTAGCAATATCAGCAGTAAAAACATGAACTTTACCAGGCAGGAACAGGAATATCTGAGAAATAAATAAAGGGATTGCATATGCCATCCTTCATTGATGTGATAGACATTTTTCATTACCTCTATCCACAATAAATATCCTTGAGGGCATTCTGCTGAAATAGAATTTAATTCAGCTATGCGTCTTTTTTTTAGCAACTCCTTACATAAACTTTACCATAAGGTTATCATAATGTAAGCATCAATATGCTAAATTGGTTGCAGAAATGTCTGTTAGGAACAGAGTTCTTTCTTTACAATATTAAATATATGGGCTGGCAATGCTGCCAGATTGGAATGACTCAATAATCTGAAATATGAATAATATCAGTAATCTGAAGTGACATCTATTCTCCAGAATGCATTTATTCAACTCCAATTTATAAACTGTCTACATATTCTTGACTGCTATTAATCACATTGTTCTAGCTTTTAAATGAGTCACTTTAATATTCAGTGAAGGTTCCTTTTGAAACTAATTTTCAACCTATTTCAAAAAGCTGGTTGTTGGTTTTTAAAGTTGAAGAGGGTTGTGCACAGGAGATGCACTCACAATCTGACAGAGTTGGAGAGCTTGTGGAAGGAAGAGTAGGCAAAGATTCCCAAGGCAAGATAGGCTTCTACCCCAAAACACTGAATGCTGTCATAAAATCAAAAGGTACTTCAACGAAGTGTTAAGTTTAAGGATGCAATCACGGTATTGTAAGATTTTTATTTTACCTCTAAAAGATTTTCAATTTGTTTTTCAATTGAATTGTTCAGCTTATATGTTATATTAAAGGTGGAAAAAATTCTGAAGTGGTTTATCTTGGTATAATTTTTTTACATCTCAAAAATCTTGTATTAACAAAGGTGTGTAGACTTTTATATCCACTGTTTAGTATTGTATAAATTATTACAACTGGTAGTGTACAATTCAGCATAGTTGATGTGCAGTTACATTCTCATCTTTATACATTTTTAAAAAATCTTTTAACCTTATAGACTTCAGAAATGGGGACTAAATACATACCTATATGCTCCGAAAGATGACTACAAGCATCGTATGTTTTGGCGAGAAATGTATTCTGTAGAGGAAGCTGGTAATTAACCTCTTTGTATTTCAAAAGTTATTGATTAAGAAGTGATAATGAAAGAACAGTGTTGTCTTACTGCAAATGAAAATTATTTATAGGTAGTCCTCAACTTTTAATAGCAATTTTCACTGGGATTACCATTTACTAAACAATGGGATCGTAAAGTATGTTGTCATGTAACTGTGCAGCTTAAGGATGGCAATTCTGGCAGTCCCAGTTGCCATTGTTAAATGAAGAGTGTGCATGTTCGCAAATGAGGACCTCATGTGACCACAATTTCCAACTTCCTGAGTGCTGTTCTAAGCTGACCCTGCTTGTGGGAAAGCAGCAGACAATGTTGAAAATGCAGTTACATGACAGCTAGGATGCTAGCTACATTGGCTGGAACATACCATTTCCTACAGTATTTCTCCTCTCCTTTTACAGTATTTCTCCTCCCCAGGACTAGGATAGCCAGCTCACAGCTGCTATCTGACTGACAAGACTCTAGTAATCAGTTTTTACGCCTTTGGCTTTTGTTTGCCTCCTAACAATTTTAGAGAAATGAGGAACTGATTTCTCTACTCCCCTGCCCTTTGGAATATTCACCCTTGTAATGATAGAAGGCAATCTTTCCTGTGCCTGACCCATTCGCCCACCACCACCACCAAGCAGAAAGATTGGAAAGGGAGAGATTACAATAGAATGAGCAGGCACACAGAGGGAAATACATTGGGCTGTATGTGTAGTGCACTTATGACTCCCAGCCCTGAGTGTGCTTGGGGCTTTTGGACCATTGCGTTCATTTTGATGTGTATTCCCTAATGGGTGCCTGCTTACTGTTGTAATCCCTTCCTCTCCAATCTATCTGCTGTTTAAAAGGGGTGGTGGTGGTTCAGGTATAGGACAGTGCATACTGACAAATGGCAATCACAGGAGTAAAGGTGTTGCAAAGGTTATAAATGCAGGCATTGGTCATAAAGTTATTTTTTTTAGCACTGGAATAACTTTGAAAAGTTACTGAAAGAGGCAGTCTGTAAGTAAACTAGCTGTGTTAAATGGCTGCAAACACTCCATTGTGTCACTAATACAGTGATGGTGAACCTTTTGAGTGTGCGTGTCAAAAATTCAGAAAATGTCTGGTCACTCTGCTGGTGTGTCATCCCATCCCCCAGCAAAAGAGAAACCTATCCATGTGAGTGAACCCAAAGATCTGCATACCTCTTGTTTTCAAGTGATGCTCTCATTCTGTTGACAGTCCCTTATGGTCTTCTAGAGGCAGCATCAGGTTGCATGAGGCCTTCTTGAAGCGGCTGTAGAGAATGGTCTTCTGCGGCCTTTGCAGCCTCGAAAAATAGTGGGAAAAGCACGTCCTGTTCGATTTTTCAGAAGAACACTGGTGTGTCACCTATGTCATAGGTTCACTATCACTGCACGAGTACAATATCTGCAACCCTGAAAAACAGCATTATGTTGTCCTGTGCTTGACAGTAGCACAGGACAACATAATGCTGTTTTTCAGGGTTGCTGTTTTCTTTATATTAGTTGATTTCAAATTAGCTAATGAAGCAATCACAGTACTATTCCAAACCCAATCTAATAGAATATAGAAACCTCAAAATACTGAAACTCATTTGACATACTAGTTCAGTTAAATTCACTAACAGTTCACTGGGACCTGAATGAGACTCCTCCTTTCAGGATGTATAGCAGAAACAATAATGCAACAATGAAAAACTCATCCTTTTAATGTAATCAAAGTTACCTACATAAGTCAAATTTAATAATTAAATTCATCTGTACATTTAAAAAACTTACATCAAAATCCTATTAAGTGGGTTATATATTGCAATACAAAAGAACTACAAAGTACAATTAATTACTTGCAAGATTTCCTTCAACACAACAGATACCTGCTCAATTTCATCAGAAAGTTATTTACCTAATGAATGTAACACAGAAATCATACTTCATCAAAAGAATTATCCTGTCTTACATCAAAGATGTTTCAGTATCTACCAAGAGGATTCTCCAGTCATTTGTAATCTCTAGCTTAATATTCTTTGTAAACCCCAATTATTATCTTTCTTAATCATTTTTAAAATGCATAAAAATAAAACCAGTTACCTACAATTCATGGTAATATATTCAACATGATGTATATAATATACTTAAATGCATTATATGCAAAGATAGATAGATAGATAGATAGATAGATAGATAGATAGATAGATAGA